CACTGACCCCAGTAAATATAGGGAAATTTAACATTTCTCTCTTTTTTCTTTTTTTTTTTTTTGTGCTGGAGAAGATTCACCCTGAGCTCATATCTGCTGAAAATCTTCCTCTCTTTTTTTTTCTTATGTGAGCCCACCACAGCATGGCCACTGACAGACAAGTGGTGTGGTTCCATGCCCAGGAACCGAACCCAGGCCACCAAAGCAGAGTGCACCGAACTTTAACCACTAGGTCATTGGGGCTGGCCCTAACATTTATTTCTTAACACTTCATGAGTACCCCCATCCAAGGCTCAAGGGATGTGAGTAGGATCCCATCTATCACTCCCCTTTTCTTACTCTGCTTCTTTAGTGTTAGCTGAATTTGAGGTAGAGCAATCCATCAAGGGAAGAAAATGACTGGCAGAGCTCTGAGCCAATTCCTTTCCAGATTTACCTCCAGTAAGAAAGAAGGGAAAGCAGTTCCTCCAAATACCAGGCAAAAGCCCAGAAATTCAGGTTCTTGTCAGCCTAATCCAGATCTCATGTCCATCTCTGAACTAAGGACTGTGGTCACGCACATGCAAGGCATGGGATTTCTTAGTCTAGACAAGGTGATTCTTCACCTGAAGTCCAGGGGCCAAGCGTGGAGAAGGGGATCATTTGGGAAACGGTTATCAGGACAAGGATGAATAAGTGAATGGATGCCGGGCAGCAGAAACCAAGGATTAAGAGTCATTTGCACAAACTCGAAGATTCCAGGGTAAGCACATAAAAAAGGGCAGAAAATGTTACATATCAAATGTTCCTCATCAGGCAGATGGAACCACCATTCCTCAACCACATAAGGTCATGGGGGCCAATGAACACAGTTGTTCAATAAACCAAGTTCCTGGGATCCTAACAAGTTGACACAATAATACCATCAACGCACATTCCAATGTAGCTATAGTGTTTTTCAATGCATCATACAAGCCATGGATTTAGCCATTGCATAAAACAAGAAAGTTAAGATTTTCCTTTTTCTGTCTTCTTTAATGTACACTAATGTCTCATAGATCCAATTCTAGGTACTAGGGTGCATTTTCCAAAACGCACCTCTCGACGTGGCCCAGACTTTCTCAATTTTAATTATTTTACTATAAATCCTCCTAAAATGCATGACACACTTCCCCATCTCAATAACCAGACTTTGGAACACAATTTAACCTGACATGTGCCTTCTCTGATCTACTAGAGTGATGCGCACAGGTTCTATGGAGGTTTATAGCACTTTTTGTCCTCACACCGCACGGTTCCAGGCCATCCTGCTTCCTTTGCTAAGTGCTGTGAGACTGTGGACTATTACGACCTAACATAGTCTGGAGTGTCTGAAAAGGCTTCTAGACCCCAGACCCACTAGTGTAATGCACACCTCTAATATTTGTAATAGCTGATGTTAACATATTTGCAGATTTGCAAGTATGAACACAGGATGTCATGTAATTACATTAAGAGGCTTTCTTTAAAAGAATGACAATTCTCTTTCATCCCAAATTTTCTTACTGCACACAACTCTCTTGATTGCACCTATGTAGAAACAACACAGCTCCTAAAGGCTACATCTAAAGACAAAAACAAAACCTTTGCCTCTAAAACAACCCTTAGCCTCTGGAACTTGTGCCAACAAGAAGTTGAGCATCAAAGACGTGCATCCTCAAGGAAGGCATACTCTCCAACACTCACTTAACATGTGGGCAGGAAGGATAAGGGAGAGGGAAGAACTTCCCAGAAGGCATGGCTGGGCCTCAGAGAACAATAGATAAGGGAGTTCCTCCCAGAGAGTATAAACAGGTGCTAATGAAGGAATCCTCCCACTGTGAGGGCACAGGGGCCTCCCAATGCGTGTCTGTCATGGCTACGGACTGGTGACTACTGCGTGTCTCCCATTCTTCTGAATGATAATTTTTATTGCAGTGGGACTTCACTATTGTATGTGAGCAGATAACTCTCAAACTCATTTTCAGCAGAACTGGGAGAGAGATCTAATCTAGAGATTTCAGCATATGTGTAAATATTACCCAAAGAAGCTGAAATTGGACAGAAGCCATATGGGAAAAAAGAAAGAGAAAAAACACAGAGAATGAAGAAAGGGCCCATCAGTGGCAAATCTCAGAAAGTGCCAGCAAAAATCCAATTATGAAGGTGATGGTCTCACCTTGAACTTCAAAAGAGATATTCTTGTTTGCACCAAGTGTGGATATAGGGTGCAGAAGGGTAGCAACAGAAGCCTTCATGAACTTGATCTGGTCCAGAAAAACAGAAGAGGCAGGACTATACAGAGAACAACACAGGTGGGCCATATTTGCAGGAAGCCCTCTGTCTCTTTGGCAGCAGGAAAGAGGAGAGTCTTGGGATGTGCTACCTAGAAGGTTACCCAGCCTCTCCCTGCTCTCCTCTCCCCGGCCCCATGGAAACATTCAGCAGATAGCTGGCACAGGAATCTAGTTAGTTTGGCACACATATTTTAAAAAGAAATTCGCCCAGCATAAATGTAAAGCTTCCATTAAAAAAATCTGAGGGCCAGCCTCATGGTGTAGCGGTTAAATTCAGTGCACTCCATTTCGGCAGCCCAGGGTTCCTAGGTTAGGAACCCAGGCGTGGACCTACACCACTCATCAGCCATGCTGTGGCAGTGACCCATATACAAAATAGCAGAAGACTGGCACAGGTATTAGCTCAGGGGCCTCAAGGAAAAAACAAAAGAGGAAAACTGGCACAGATGTTGCTCAGGGTGAACCTTCCTCAGAAAAAAGAAAAAAAATGTGAAAAAAAACAGCAAAAGTTACCAATGGATGAAAGACACTCAGCAGAAAAATGGTGCCCCAACCAGACAAAAATTGTGCCCAAGTATGAAGTAATTACCTCTGAGAATCTTCACAGAGAAACCACAAAGCAGAAATGCAAGAAATCAGGAAAGAAATGGTGAGACACAAGTGAAGAGGAAATGAGAGCTAATGGGATTCAGGAAAGAAATAGGAAAACAAATCTGCTAATGATCACAAAGATAAAAATAAAATTGGAAGGAGCAAGTGGGAGAATAAGCACTGTGAAAAATACAAAAAAGGAGTAGAGAGGATAAAATTACCACAACAAAAACCAAATTTTAAGAGTTAAAAAGAAGTAGAGGCCAGCATTGTGGCCAAGTGGTTAAGTTCACACACTCTGCTTTGACAGCCCAGGGTTTTGCCAGTTCACATCCTGGGTGTGGACCTAGCACTGCTCATCAAACCATACTGAGGTGGTGTCCCACATAGCAGAACTAGAGGGACCCACAACTAGAATAGACAACTACGTACTGGGGGGCTTTGGGAAGAAGAAGAAGGAAAAAAAAAAAGGAGCAGAGGGAAAATGATAGACATAGAAGACAAAGAAGTCATGATATATTTATAGTTGAAATTCCCAAAAAAGAAAACAAAATACAGCAGAGAAAATGAGAAGACGACAATCAAGAAAACCATCCTAAAATAAAAGGAACAAAACACAGTAGTGTTATCTGATGAAAAATAAAGAAATAATCATTTGAGTAGCTGAGCAAAAAGATCAACTCACTTATACAAGGAAAAAATAAATTGGTCTGGCATCAGATTTCTCTATGGCAGCATAGGCATCAGAAGTGAAATAATACCTACCAGACCCTTAGAAAAGAAAACGTGAGTCAAGGATTTCATTTCCAGGCAAAATGCCCTTCAAGTGTAAGGCTACCATTTTGAACAATGCAAGGATTCGGAATATTGCTCCCATGAGCCATTCTTAAGGCAATGACTTTAAGATGAGCTTCAGCCAAGCACATGATGATGAGGAAAACCAGGGCAAAAGGACTACAGAGAACAGTGACAATGTTTAACTGTAGAACCATGACTAAAAGCAATATATCAAGGTAACAGAACAGAATGTAAATTCTATATCCTGATGTTTTAGAATGATATGAGTAATAATTGGTGGTGGAAGAGGGAAAGAAGCTGAGATGCTGAGCAAGTTCACTGGCTGCATTATAAGTAACAGCTGAGAGCCAAGAGTTATCATTTAAAGTGAGCAAATCATCTAACGGAAGCATACACATATTTAATAATTTAAAAGTAAACAGTAAAAGGATGGTGTCAACTAAAATTGTGTGGTGGAGAAGGAGACAGAGATGAGATGTCATCACCTCCACTAGAGAACTAAGAGATACTGCTTAAGGAACAGAGCACTGAGGTTATTATATAGAATTATAGTTATAAAGTGAACCCCCAAGACAAAAATACAAAACTCCCAAGTATCAGGAAAAAGATACATACAAATATACTAAGACAAAAATTGGCGCAGGAAAGAAGTAATCGTAGATCACCACATGATCAGTTGTGAAGAATATTCACCTAGTCAAAAAAATTCAAATTAGCAAAAAAATGTTCACTTTTGATCTAATTAAACTATATTGGGAAAAGAGCCCTTCTACAAGGGGGCAGGGAGGAAGAAAGACAACTAATTCCTCACCTTCCACAAGGAGAAGTCAAGAAATAATCTGAAATGCAGGAAGTGGCTATACAAGTGTGGTATTTAAAGACATGGAGATGAATATTAAAATAACCACACAAAAGAGATGAAAGCAGTTGCCCTGAGGAGACGAAAAAAGGGAGAGGGGCAGAGACGGCTGTTTTTCATAACAAACTTTGTAGAACATTTTGGTTCTTTCATACATAACTTTAATAAAGGAATTTGAGCTCACCTGACCAATTCATATTTTGATATTTCACTCTAACCTTTTCATCAGGTCCTCCCAAACTAAAGGCTTCCTAGTCTTTCACTTTGAAAAAGGGAATTCTTCATTCTGCTTTGTTTTTTATTGAAAGTCACTACAACTGCTACATTAACATGATGGTGTTTCATAAGCCTCCTTTGAACCTCAAATTGCCACATCTTCTATGAGGACAAAACGTGGACTGAGCGCCATGACTCAGGATGGCCTGCAGAGGAAAAGATATTAGCAAACGAGAGGATACCTATGGTGGTGATGACAGTTCCAGCAAAGAAAAAGGCACTTCCAAGGTCCCAGTGACTGCTGTTGTTGGAAGAATTTCCTATTGGACTTACTCCTGCGTTGTCAGCATCAAGGGCATGCTGCAGAGAAAGTGAGAAAGCATGAGACTCAGTTAACAAGTTTAAAAACAAAAAGCTCTCAAATGATTTCTCTCTCAAGAACCTGCCATGACCTACAGAGGACTGGTTCCACGGATGAGAATACAAGCCAAAGTGAAATACTATGCACCCACTTACAAAAATTAGAAAATCAGTTTTAAGTGGAAAAAAAATTAGGATATATAGTATGGTGCCGTCTATGTAAAAATTGCAGGCACAGGATTTATGCAATCCAGGCCTGGGTTATTCAAATGCATACAGATCTGTTGTGCATATACATAGAAAGACGTCTTAAAGATCATCATCCAAGTGGTCATTCCCGGAAGGCAGGATTTCAGTTGCTTTTTGCTCTTCCCTTTTCTGTTTTGTTAGAATGTTTTACACTGAGCTTGTTTCAGAAGTGCAGGAGTTAAGAGCTTGGGCTCCTGGTCAGACCATCATGGCTCTGCCCATTATTAACTTCAGAACCTTGGGCAAGTTAGTTAAACTCTCCAAGCCCAAACTCCCTCACTTGCAAACTGGGGATAACAATAGCTTCCCCCACAGAGTTGTTGTGAGGATTAAATGAGATGATCCACGCAATGCACTTAGCTCAGTGCCTGGCACTGAGTTAGAGTTTAACAAACAGTAGTCAAGTTCATGATTGTCATTTCACTCTCCCCCAACACACACACAAATACTGTTCCTTTTTAAAAGAAACAACAAGGACCCTTCATTGGCTACTGGATTTGGAATCCCACACACTTTAAAATTCCCAATAAATTGGCGACGTTGATGCTCAAAACTCGTCTCACACTACCATAAAAGCCTCCAGCCGGGGCAGGACACTCCTCGAGTCATTCCCTCACACCAACGGGAATTCGTCCAAACCCATCCCCATCCTTCAGGGTCTAACCCAGGCTCCGCTTCTTCCAGGAGACTCAGTCTGCGCATTGCAGCCCCCACAGATGTTCCCTTCCCAGGGCTCACACTCTGCACCAAGTATATGTAACTGGCTTTTGATCACACCCTCCCCTGCTGAAAATCCTTCCCTAGCCTCACTCAGCATGCACAGAATAAGGTGGAAAACCCCTCGGCAGCCCTTCCTAAGCTAGCCCCTGCCAACCCCTCTCAGGCAAGGGGAGACGGTAGCAAGAGCTTTCAAACAGGTGAGCTGTGGTGAAGAAGCACCAGGTGGGGGCTTCACAGGGAGGGGACAGACATATGAGCTACTTCTAGAACAACAAAAAGAGACTCTGATTCCTGGACAAAATTGGAATAACCCCATGCAACTAAATATTGAAATGTAATTATATTTATCCTAGAGAATGCCCATTAAGCTTTGTTAAAGCAGGAAGATCGGTTGCCACAAATAAGATCACAACTGAACAAGTCAATCATCCTTACATTTTGCCTTCATTTACCTGAGCTATTTCAAACCCTCCAGACCAGGGATCAGCAACCTTTTTCCATAAAGGGCCAGATAGTAAATATTTCATGCTTTGTGGACCACATATGGTTTCTGTTGCATATTTGTCTTTTCTTTTCACTACCCTTTAAATATGCAAAAACCATTCTTAGCTCACAAGTTGTACAAATCAGGCTACAGGCTGGATTTGACAGACCCCTAGGTCATTGACTGAACAATAGAAAAAGATCTCTTTTGTTAAAGTCTTCAGTTTAGTCTTTCCTGCCTCTAAGAACATGAAATACAACACTGGCCACTGTTTCTAACATAAACCCTGGCACTCCAGAATTTAAAATCTGGCTGCATGGGATGTGTACAGGCTGCCTTTGCCGATGGTTATATCAGCCTAATTGACAACAATCACTTATTCATCGGGAGCTATGCTCTGCTCTGCTTCAGAGGGAAGACAGATGGCGAGGCCTTTCTGGTGGTAAAATATCCACTTTCATTATGCTGACAGCGTCATCAGATCAAACCACAGGCCTTAACTAGTGTTTATATCTTCATTATCTATTCGGCTCTGATGGGCCCTACCTGGAAATAATACCTCAGGGACAGCACTAGGTCTCAGTCACTTAGGTGGCCTCAAATCACACCATCAATACCTAATATTTACAACTTCTATGAAGCTGCAAAGAGAATTTGGGTTCAATCAAGTCTCAGTGTACTGAGAACTGCCCATAAACATCACTAGGAGACCCAGTGCTGCATATAAAAATACAGATTTGCAGCAAAGACAAGCAAAGATAATTATTTATTTCATCAAAAAGCCCAAAGTAAGATTCCTTTTCAATTTAATCTTCTTGAATTATGCAATTTATAAATATTTAATGTTTACATATGTAACCCTCAAGGAAAGTGTTTATTATTTGAAAGGAAAGGAAACTAACATTTCTTGAGCTCCTGCCTTGAGCCAGGTGCTTTAGAAATGTTATTCTATTTTATCTTTTCCACAACTTGTGTGTTATTCAATTTTATCCTTTCTACAACTTGCAAGAAAGTAATATTATGCCCACACGAGAGATAAGGAAACAGGCTCACGTAAGCCGGAAATGGAGAAGACAGAATACAAACCCCAACTGGCCCAAAGCTACGGTCTTGCCCTTTCCTTTATACATGACCTCCTCTTCCCCCAACTCCATACTCACCTACAGACAGAAATGAGCGAGAAGGACTGCCATTGTCCCAGAATTTAGGCAGAAATGACCTCACAAGGGATGGTTTCTAATGAGATAACTTCCCTTAACATGTAAATGGAGGCACCAAACTTCATTTGACTGTTGGAGCTGGTGAGAGCTTAATTGCTCTACATTAAAAATAAAATTAAAAAATAAATTAAAATGGGGAAAGATTGACTTTATACCCTGAGAGGGAGGAAACAGAGAAAAGAGTGGGAATGTCCAGAAAAAGGAGGAGAAGAATGAAAAAGAGAGAAAGGAGTGTCGAGCTTCAAGATCAGCTGCAGCAACACCGGGGACTTTGGAAGGGCAGGGCCATCTAGTACCCAATTTTAACTTGCTTTATCCCTGTGATATAAATTCCTCTCTCGCGCCCCCAAATCTTCAGTAAACTGGGCTACACACACAAATGTCTTGGGGAAATGGTTTTGTGGAAATTAAAATATAAAGGTTATTGTGGGCACAGAGCATGACTGAGAACCCTCCAACAAGTCACCAAGCTCTTGGCGAGGCTTTGGACAACTGCCAACGCTGGGAATGAGGTTTGATTCTATCTAGAGCTTCCGGGTCAGAAAGACTCCAGCAAACAACCAGAATTAAAATGAATTGGCAAACTCAGATTATATACATACAGGGAAAACCCAGTATAAACAAACGGTTATCACTGGAATTAATAGCATCATTTCTAACTCAATAAGCATATTTCTGATTGAGTTCATTGTTCGAACTTTATCAATTTTCTAAAGTATTTTCTAATGATCTTAACAGTTTGAACTCAAGTAAAATATTTCAAAATTAAATGCATTTGCTTTTAAGTTTTTTTTTTTTCTTTGCAAGCAAACTACAAAAGCGAAGATAAGCCAGCCAATTAAAAATGTCTAAGCACATAGACAATGAAATGACACAAATGAGCCACGTACAGTTTGGCTTAAAAGATCAATTATAGGGTAGAGGTTCAACCAACATCAGCATCGTTTTAGGCCACAATCTCAGACTCAAGGAGCATCATATGCTCACTTACAAGTTCAACTATTATCAAATTCAGAGGGTCTTAGGAGGACCAAAAAAAAATTATACTCAATGTAATGTGAGAGCTTCAAGCTTCAGGGAAACGGTACCAGAGATAAGAAGGCACTGCTTTAAAATTTAATTCCACTCTTTCTTGAATTTTTCTTTTTAGCATCTAAGTTGGAATTTCCAGCCCCCACCCGAGTACTCAATAAATGGTTCATGAGTGAATCGTTAAATCAGTAACAAACGAATGAACAAAGTAATGTAATAAATTTAGGCACATGATCTTCCCAGAGGTGTGAGAGGAAAGCAATTTACTTCTCTGCAAAATCAGACAAACATAAGAAAGTAACCCAACAAAAAGAAATATAATGACTAATAAATTTTATTATATTAATAACATAGAGCTGACTTCAAAAGGGCAAGCTCTAAAAGACTAGAATGTAGTTACCAGGGGCTGGGGGTGGAGAAAATGGGGAGATGTCAGTCAGAGTACAAACTCTCAGTTAGAAGATGAATAAGTTCTGGGGATCTAATGTACAGCATGATGATTCTAGCTAGTAAGACTGCATTATATACTTGAAAGTTGCTGAGAGAGTAGGTCTTAAATGTCTCACCACAAAAAAGGAAACGGTAAGTATGTGCTATGACGGAGGTGTTAGCTGGTGGCAATCATATTGCAGTCTACAAATGTATTAAATCAATATTTTGTACACCTTAAACTTACACAATGCTATATGTCAATTATATCTCAATAAAACTGGGAAATAAATAACTAAAAGAATCTGTTTCTCTCTTGCTCTCTCCATCCTCCTGCTCCCCTTGCATAGGATCACCTGAGACATGTAATAGAGAAACTGCAGCCTCTCACACAGTGAGGCGGGTCTGAGGTTCATGTGACGGAAGAGAGAAGGGGGGAGGTAAAGACCCCTCGGAGGCTCCCCACCACGTGCCCCCAGTGCTGTAATCCCATAAGGCAATGCCAGGCGACATAAATCACTGTTCTGGACGGCACGAGATACCATCATGAGTGTTAGCACTACCCTGGGATGAATGATGACCCACAGGGGACCACTAACTGTCTGTGGCTTTTCTCCTATGATCTGTGTACTCGGTGAGATAATCTGTTTCTCTGTTTCCTTCTGTGACACCAAAAAGAGAGACAAACAATGGCGAAGCAATAATCACTCAGCTCGTCCGAGACTGGCTGAAGAATACAACCAATTGGAGCCATATGCACCGACACTAATAGCTGGGTGATTGTCTGATTTATTGTGCAAACGAGGACCCTTGCAGAGGGAAAAGGGGTTGTGTGCATTATCATGTTGGGACCACAGGACAGGAGT